CACTATAGATCCCTTAATAGTGTTTCCTGTTGGCTTTGTTTCTGTGGCTGATCCAGACGGTCACGGAAGGAGTGGAAGGAAGGGTCACTGAGTCAGAGGGCTGCCGTGGCCTTGCAGCGTTCTGATGCCCTAAAGCACCCCCCACCCCCACCCCCTCCACACACCCGTGCACACACACGTCATTCTCTCAGTTCAAGGAGCAGAATGGAGCCAACCTCACTGCTGAAACAGCGGAGGACTCTTTCGCCCTTTAGTTTGAGGAGGCTCCACAGATTTATTAGTCCCCCTTCCCCCACTTTGGGTTCTTCATTCCTCCAGCCTTCCACCTGCCAGGGTGAGTCAGTAGAAGACGAGGTTGGTGCAGGAAGGCCCAGTGGCTCAAAGTGTTCCCAGCGCTGACAGGGCTGCTGCTCGTGAGCATGAGCCCTGAGCTGGGAAGTACCCCTCAAGGACTCCCTCAAGGACTGACTTCCGCCCTCTGTAGGAGTCTGTGGCATGGGCCAGTCCCCAGGGACCAGGCCCCTCTGGGCTGATGGTTAAGTGAGGTTTTGTTGTTTTTTGTTTGTTTGTTTGTTTACCATTTTGTACAAATATCGGCAAACCTACCAGCCAACAGAGTCAGTCAATTTGTATGTGATCAAAGATGATCTTTCCAAGGGTGAATTTGAGATTCCAAGGGTGAATTTGAGATTCACGATGTCGGCTGGAGGGAAGAGCCAGCCACACTGGGCTCCTCGCTGTTGAGGACGACTAAGGCCCAGGATCACTCTGTTAGAAAAGTCCTTGTTGCACACCAGACCTGCCTCTGTTTACCCCTGTGTTTTATTTCCCGTCGTATGCTGGCTAACTTATGGCTTCGATGCAGCTGTCCTGGCTGTCCTTTGATTCTTGGGTCCTCAGAAACTTTTTTAGGGGAGAGAAATGTAACGACTGTTTCTCCCCCAGAAAAGCATAATTTTTTTCTTAGAGCTACATTTCCTGTTTTTTTGTTTGTTTTTAGTTTGGGTTTTTTGAGATATGAGTCTCACTAGGTAGTCTTGGCTGGACTGGAACTTGTGAATGTAGACCAGGCTGGCCTAAGAACTCATCGTAATCTGCCTGCCTCTGCCTCCAGAGTGCTGTGATTAAAGGTGTGTGCTGCTGCACCCAGCTGATCTACCCTGGTTTGAATATGAAATGTCACAGCTCATGTCGTAAAGGATCGGTCCCCAGCTAATGGGTCTATGTTGGGGTACATATGGAGACCTGAAGTAGGTCACTGGAGTCGTGCCTTCAAGGGTATCTGTCCCTCTCCCCCCCTTCCCTTTCATTCCCTTTTCCCTCCCTTTCCCACTCCCCGCCCCCTCTCCCTTTCTGTTTCTTTTCTAGTTTTTTTTTTGGGGGGGGGGGGTATTGTTTGAGACAGGGTTTCTTTGTGTAGCTTTGGAGCCTTTCCTGGAACTCACTCTGTAGCCCAGGCTGGTCTCGAACTCACAGAGATCCTCCTTCCTCCGCCTCCGGAGTGCTGGGATTAAAGGTGTGCGCCACCACTGCCCGGCTCTTTTCTAGCCTTTGTGAGGTGATCAGCTCTGCCCTCCCAAGCTCCCGGCCATGATGCTGTGTCCCACTACAAGCGCAGAACTGGTAGAGCAGCCAGCCATGGACTGAAACCTGTTAGAGCATGGGCCCACTCTAAAAGACAGTGGTGACTTTAAAAAGGCCCGTTTCCCAGAGCTCGAAGACTTCAGTCCGTGCCTTCCTGTGGCCCTTCCCAGGACACGGAGTCAAGAAGAAGCTGTCTGTGTGGTAGTTTCACAGCAGCTCCTGATTTATGGCCTCAGCCAGTACCTGGCTCCTCCAGGCTCCTGGTCACATAAGCTGTACTGAACTAAATCACATGATGTGAAACTTCCTGCCACCCCCGAAGTGGCCAGAAAAAGTCAGATTTCTTTTTTCTGTTCGAAGATTCGGTCCTGGACTCCTCAGGAGGATTTGCTTAGGGAGCTGCTTGGGAGCTTCTTTCTGAAGGGGCTCCTCTGGTCTCCCTCTCTTGGCTGCTAGCACTCCCCTCCCCCTCCCCTCCCCCTACCCCCCCACACCACCTCAGCCCCTGTGTGTGGCTCTCTCTCATTCCCAGTCTTTTCTGTTTTTTTTTTTTTTTGAGACAGGGTTTCTCTGTGTAGCCCTGGCTGTCCTGGAACTCACTTTGTAGACCAGGCTGGCCTCGAACTCACAGAGATCCACCTGCTTCTGCCTCCTGAGTGCTGGGATTAAAGGCCTGCGCCACCACCACCTGGCTTCATTCCCGATCTTAATGAAACTTCTTTCCAGGTCGTAAAGGAATGCCTCGCCTCCCCTTTAAGTCCCTATCACATTTAGATCTCCATTTATTGCCGTGGTTCTCAACCTTCCTAACACGGTGACCCCCAACCATAAGATTATGTTCGCTGCTACTTCATAACTGTAATTTTGCTACTGTTATGAGTCATAATGTAAATATCTGCATTTTCTGATGGTCTTAGGCGACCCCTGTGAAAGGGTTCTTCAGCCCCAAAGGGTCTCGACCCACAGGTTGAGAACCACTGATTTATTGTATTATCTCTGTCTAATACTTCCCTCACACTTAATCATGGCCTTGAGGTCCTCACATAGAAACAAACCTCATTCCCGAAGGGAATGATGAGCTCTGCTGGCTTCCCTTTTCTTTTATCATTATAACACAGCCTCTGAAACCCTGATCATCTTTCCCTCCTTTGTGTTTCTTGGGTATCTGTGGCAGCGAAAGAACACAAATGCTTTGCAATCATCAAGACCTGCTTGCTCCATTTGGAATGCTTTTGCATCCCGTTTGTGACTGGGATGATACTTCACTTTACTCAGGGCTCAGGTCCTGGGCCCTGGGTGACAATCCTCCTCTGAAATCCCCAAATCCCTTGTAACCTGCCTTTTTCAGGCAATGGAAATATTCTAAAGAGACACTCCTGTTTCAGAGGATCGAAACAATAAACTCTAAGAAATTGGAATTTCCTCAGGAATCTCCTACTGAGAGCCAACAAGGCTGAACCTGGGGGAAGCCAGAGGAGGAATTTGTCTGCAGAGCAACATTGACTCCTGTGAGATGACCCTTCAGAGAGACTTGGAGCTGAGGGGCAGAGATCATGCCTGCTGGACCGCTTAGCTATGTAGCTCGGGCTTTGTATTTAACTCGCCACCCTCAGTCCCTGATGGGTTTGGGAGGGTCACTGGATCTCTTGGTCTTTCTTCCCACTGTGGCCACATTAATAAATCCCCCCCTTTCACTCTTTTAATTGGCTTATTGAGGACAGGTGTCCAGAACAGGCTCCCTGGGGCTCAGACTCTCCGTGCCTTCATACCGGCTTGCATTTTGAAGTGATATTCTCAGGACTGTTACTATTTCCTTATTAGGAGAGGCTTTTTCTCCAGTGGACTAGCCCTGACAGTCGGTTACTCTGTTTGACATATCTCAGACTGAACACCAGCAAACCTCTCTGTTCCTCTTAATCATTTTCAATAGTTCATATTTGGGGCAAATATGAAAAAAAAAAAAGATCATTCCAAAGATCTTTTCTGCTAAGTGAAAGACTCCAAGCAACGTAAGAAATCTCCCTTGAGAATAGTCCCTTGATTGATTTGATTGCAATCTGGGACTTGGCTGGTGCTGAGGAACAAGGCTTAGTTATTGTATTAGAGACCTTGCTTCTTGAGACGGAGACCTGCCCCTACGAGTGTGTCCTGTCCTGGTCACACTTAGCTGGTTTGGGTACATTCTGTGAAGATCGTTACCCATCTTTCTTACCTTTGTACCTCACACTCTGTTTTCTTGTGACACTTGCTCACATGAATTAAAGAGCATAGATCTAAAGTCCCATTGAAAGGACACAAAATGAACCAACTAAAGACACCAGTTATGCTTGCTAGGTTTTTTTTTGGTTTTTGTTTTTTGTTTTGTCAACTGAACACCAGTTAGGGGCATCTGGGAAGAGGGAACTCAGACTGAGAAAATGCCTGCATCAGACTGGCCTGTAGGCCAGGCTATGGGCATTTTCTTGATTAATGATTGATGTGGTAGACTCCAGCCCACTGTGGATGGTGCCACATCTGAACAGGGCATTCTGGGTGGTTCAAGAAAGCAGGCTGGGCCAGCCATGGGGAGCAAACCAGTGGGCAGCCTTTCTCCATAGCCTCTGCTTCAGTTGCTGTCTCCAGGTGCCTGCCTTGAGCTTCTGCCCAGACATCCCTTCATGCTGGACTACAAGCTTTGAGGCTCTTTGTCCTGCCATGGACTAGAAATGGTAGTTTCTTGGAATTTCTCTTTCCTTCCACGTGAAATGAACTTATTGGGTCGAGTAACCCAACACCCTGTATTTCCAATCTGCTCGGTGCTATGATTCTGAGCACTCTCCCTGGCGTGGCTCCCGGTGAGACAGAATCGGTCTCAAGACCCAATTCCCACACAGTGGTTTTCTTACACTGAACAAATTCAGGCATGGCTCACTTCTGCCCATCGGTCAGCTGTGTACAGAACTCCGGGAGGTGCCCACTGTGGATCTCCATTTTCAGATGAGGAAACTAAGCCTCCTCGGGGAGTGCAAATAAGTTGCCTGAGATTCAACAACTTAACAAGAGAGAAGGCCAAACCCTGGGGCCAGTCTGACTCCAAATAATCACCTTTCTCCCCAGCGAGCTCACCATCCTTTTATTTTCAAAAAACAAAACAAAACAACAACAACAAAAAATGGGAATAGCTACAGTATCTACTTCCCAGGGCTGCAGTGGACTGTGACCGTTTGACGGAGTACCTCCTGTCTAGCGTGGAGCACCTCCTGTTAGACGGAGCACCTCCTGTCTAGCGTGGAGCACTTCTAGAGTGCTCAGAGCTGTAGATGTGAGCCTTTCTGGGTTGCACTGTGCTGGAATCCTTTTGAACTGACAATGGATGGATCATGTGATCATAAGGAAGGGGTCACTGCTACCTAAGTGAAGGTCTCCATTTCTTTTAGGTCCTGTCTGCAGCCTCTGTGTGTCATCTTTTGGAGCGAGACCCGTCACAATCTTCAGTGGCTTCCTGGTGGCTGGAGGCCTGATGCTGAGCAGTCTTGCCCCCAACATCTACTTTCTGTTTTTTTCCTATGGCATCATTGTAGGTAAGGAACCCCGTCCCCACAAATCTTCTAACTCCAGGCCCGTATCATTTCACTGTTGTCTTATTTTATGAAGTTAATCCGAGGAGTGCAAATGTCCAGCAATATCTTACTCCCTATGACTCTCTTAAAGTTCTTGCTTTAGGAAATGTCTGCCCATTGAATCAAAGTGCCGGAAGAGACAACCACATTAAATTTTGTTGGTGGTGGTCTTTTATGATTTTATGTGTATCGATGTTTTGCCTTGCATGGGTGTCTGTGTACCATGCATGTACCTGATGCTCATGAGGTCAGAAGAGAGCAAAGGACCACTTGGAACTGGAGTTACAGTCATGAGCTGCCATGTGGGTGCTGGGAAACGAACCCAGGTCTTCTGGAAGAGCAGCCAGTGAGAGAGATGGCCCCTACTGCTGGACCATCTCTCTAGCCCTCGATACACACCTTATGCGTCCTTGATGGTCCCCTTATCCCCACTTCAAGGAACAGGAAGAGATTTCAGGCTTTCATCTCTATATCTCAGCAAGGAAAAGTGAGACGGGAGAGTGTAAGCTCGGATGTTCCTAACGCTGGTCACGTCTCTGTTGGCTGCTGAGATTTAGCAACAGTGGGTGGAGTTTCAGTTTATTGCCAGCACCCAATCCAGGAGTTCCGGTAGACATACAAATAAAGATGGTGTAGTGGGAATGCTTGATGATGATTTAGTAACAAATGAGTACAGAGAGCCTAGACCACTTAACATTTCATGAAAATCCCTTTGTAATATACTGTACTTAAAGGTGTTCGATGTTAAAAACCACTAGACTATGGTCATAGGAGTTTCTATCCCGTTCTGATACTTTAATTATGGAAATGAGATAATGGCCATTTCTTAGTAGTATCATAAACTTTTCCCCAAGTCTTCACTTAAATAGTTTTATTATCAAAGATAGTTCTCACAACTGTGCAATTGTGTTGAGCAACTATAATTTTCGGTGGGTTTTGTTGTTTTGTTTTGTTTTGAAGCAGAGTCTCCTTATGTGGCCCAGTCTGGCCCTGAACTCTAGATCTTCCTGGCTCAGTTTCCCTAGTTTTGAGATTACATGTGTGCACCACCACGTCTGGCTACTAACTATGATTTTGAGTGTTGTCTGAGGCTGCATCTGTAATGTACATGCCATAGACATGAGTGAAACGGAGGTGGCCATTTTCAGTACTACACTCCAGGTATAGATGACACATATTTACATCTTCAGTGTCTTTTAACCCAGTGTGATTGTGCTAAAGGTCGGAAGTGAGAATTCATGAGTCATGGAGCTCGTCATCTAGGCAGAAGGACAGACTGACGTATGCATAAGCAGAAGCAAGGGCAGTGGCCAAGTGAAACCAGTACCCGGTGCTGGTGTACCGTGTGTATGTGTGGAGAAGGGCGGCAGGAATCACAGTGTGACCCAAGGCTGTAAGGACAAGTAGGGTGTGGCCAATGGATGCAGACTGGAAGAGAGTTGAGGGTATCGGAAGCTACCCAGAGCCAAACACCCAGAATGGGATACGGTGGATAACACGTAGCAACCTTTAGAGATTCAGTGTGTGTGTGTGTGTGTGTGTGTGTGTGTGTGTGTGTGTGTGTGTGTGTGAATATGTATGTGTGCGTGCATGCCTGAGGAGCCAGAAGGGGCATCGTATCCCCAGCAGCAGGAGTTACAGGTGGTTGTGAGATGCCTGGCATGGATGCTGGGAACCAAACTCAGGTTCCTGGAAGAGCAGCAAGTGCTCTAGCCCCTAACAGCAGCCTTTCTTACACACACACACACACACACACACACACACACACTTTTTTTTAAGGAATGCATGTATGCATATATCACATGGGAAGTTGCAAATATGTCATAGCATCTGATAGGATCCTGATGGGGAAATGTTGCATCTTCTGTCATTTTTATTGTCAAAACATGAAGTGATGCACACAGCAGCGTAGATGTAACATGAATTGCTAAAGGGTTTTATCAATAAAAAATCCGGAGCCAGAAATTGGGGTGAAAGCTGAAAGATCAAGAAGCAGAGCAAGCCAGCCACAAGTTCTTACCTCTACAAAATCCTCAGTCTAAAGAGAGAGAGTTCCTGTTTCCTCATGCCTTATATACCTTTCTGTGTCCTGCCATATTACTTCCTGGGATTAAAGGCATGGGTCACCACTGCCTGGGTCTGTTTCTCTCGTGTAGCCCAGTGTGGCCTTGAACTCGCAGAGATCCAGACGGATCTATGCCTCCTGAGTGATAGATAGGATTAAAGGTGTGTGCCACCACTGCCTGACCTTTATGTCTAATTTGTGGCTGGCTCTGTCCTCTGATCCCCAGGCAAGCTTTATTGGGGTACACAATGTATCACCACACTTAGATAGGCAGAATTGTGCTTAAAGTCCAGGGAGCTGGGAGGAGGTCAGAGTTCAGATGAGAAATGCCGAGGAGATGAACTGGCAGCTGGAGGTGGGTCCTTCCAGCTGTGGGTGTGATAAAGAGCTTATGGTCTGGCTGCGTTATATGTCCTGCTGAATAACCGCGGGAGAGTCTTCAAAGACGGTCTGTGTTTATTGAACAAGTCAAGAGCGTAGCAGTGGGGGTGCACACACCTTAGGAAAGGACGGGTGTGTGTAAGGAAGTCTGTGAAGGTGAGATAAAGAGAATTATATAAGCTGTTTTCAGGCAAAAATCCTTGACTATGCAAATCTATTCCAAGGTGGCCTGGGTCCAAACTGAAGCTGTCCCTGGGCAGAAGTCCTTGTTGGCAGTGCTTTTTGTGTGTGGTTGCAACGGCCTCTGTGCAGATGTGGTTTGCAGAGTCATCTGTGAATGGCTTTTGACATTTCTCACTTCCAGGGATATATGCCTGAGATCCCGTTCTTCATACCCTCCCGCTGTATCTATTTATTTCTGCTTTTGTTTTATGGCTTGATAAAAACGGCTCCATTTTGATTCTGTTTTCACGGAGTGGGGGTGATACAGACAAAAAAGAAAGATTCTGGAGTCGGTGTCTCATCCAGACGTAGATGAAAAAGCACACACGAGGTGAAAAAGAACCATTAGGTCACTAAATTACATTTCATGGTCCCCTGTATAAACAGAGAGCAGTGATGTGCCGCTTGGGTTTGTGCCTTGAGTACTCAGCAGTATAGACTTGAAAGAATTCAGTGTGTCTCTTCACTGTACATGGTACTGTGTTACGTAAGGACAAGTATATACTGTACGCTACACATTCCCTTCAACCTCACTCCCTCCCCCATCTTCTCCCCCTCCCACTAGTCCCCTAGACAGTTGCACTAATTTGCCTAAATATGGCTATTTGATGTTAAAATTGCTATGCTCCTCAGAAGTTTTTTCACTGCTAGAATTTGATCAAAGCTGACTGGCCACCAGAGAGTGTTTTAAGACAATAGTTTGGAAACTTTAACATCTTGGGACTTTTTATTTTCTTCCTTAGGACTCTAAGGAACTTCAGATGGTATGGAGTATATATTTCCTTAGTGTATTACGTTTTAATATATTACATGTAAAATATAATAAATTTGGGGCTGGAGAGATGTGTGGTGATATATTGTGTTCCCCAATATATTGTGCACCCTAATAAACTTATCTGGGGTCAGAGAACAGAACAGCCACTAGATAGACATAGAGGCCAGAAAATGGTGGCACACATGCCTTTAATCCTATCACTTGGGAGTCAGAGATCCACCGGATCTCTGTGAGTTCAAAGCCACACTAGAAACAGCTAGGCATGGTGACACACGCCTTTAATCCCAGGAAGTGATGGCAGGAAGCAGAAAGGTATATAAGGCGTGAGGACCAGGAACTAGAGCCTGGTTAAGCTTTTAGGCTTTTAGCAGCAGTTCAGCTGAGATCCAGATGAGGACTCAGAGGCTTCTAGTCTGAGGAAACAGGATTGACTGGGGAATTGGCGGGGTGAGGTTAGTTGTGGCTTATTTTGCTTCTCTGATCTTTCACAATCTACCCCAATATCTGCTCTGGTTAGATCATTTAGAAATTCGTGTTACAGAGATGTCTCAGCATTCAAGAGTACATACTACTCTTGCAAAGACCCACATTCAGTTCCCAGCACAGGGAGCAGGCGGCCCACAACTGCCTGTAACTCCACCTCTAGGGGGTTAGATCCCCTCTTCTGGTCTCCACAGGCAACTGGGTTCAACCAGTTATACAGACATAGCACACCAGCAAATCCAGCATATAGCAACACACAGGCACATATAATACACATAAGTTTTTAAAGAAAATCTTTAAAAAATAATAAATGCAGAATCTGATGCACATGGGCATTCTTCCACTCTTTGTGATACTGGATCCATTTGTTTGTGCTTGGAGAAGATCTACATTCAAACCCGATTATATTACACTATAAATTGCATGCCTGAAAAATACTGGTTCTCTAAGAAGTAAAAGGACCTTAAAATGCTAACACATTGTATTATAAAACACCAAAAGCCATTTTTGTTATTGTCCCCAACTCAGTGGGTGTGGTGGTGCCTATCGGCTGCGCCAGTACTCAGGGGGGCTGGTGCAGGAGGGTTGGAAGTTGGAGGCCAGCCTGGGCCTTACAATAAGCGGCTGAGCGCCGAGTTCCCGAAATGCTTACTCGTACGTTTGTTAATGGCATCTGTTTACTGAGCGCCTAGGTAGCTGTTGAAGTAATGAAAATGACCTCAGTGCACTTAATGAGCCAGGGGTGCCTTCCCAGCCAGTGGCTTGTGTGTTATTTTTAGAGTGGTCATCATCACGACCAGATAACACAGCAGGAAACAGTAAGAAGTAAATGCAGGGGAGCCACACGAGATGCTAAGGGAAAACAGCCGATCATAGCAGAGTGTACCAGTATTCCCAGAGACCAAGAGATAGAGCCAACAAGCTAGACGCGGCCAGGAGACAAGTCTTACCCTGGGGACTCAAGAAGACACAGGTAGCTAGCTGCGAGACTGCTTCTGATTATGGAAAATTTCAAACCTACAGGAAAGTAGGGAATACCATTGCAAGCGACCACGTGCCTGCTTCTTTTACTGCTTGTGGCTATCTTATTGTATTTGTGTCCTTTTTTCCCTCCAGAGTTTCTTCAGCTGAAGCTAAATAGTCACTGTTTAGTTAAATAGGCTACAAAGCAGCCCTAAAGACGGGGACTTACAGACTCCAGCTTTAGGGTGGTGGGATGATTGAGAATCATTTTCAGATCCTTTGTTTTTGCTGACTGAGGTGGGAAAGATAAACTCCAGCAGAATAGCTTGGGGTGACGAGGTGGAGCTGGAGAGATGCCTCGGTGGTTAGGATCACTGGCTAGTCCTCCAGAGGACATGGGCTCAATTTCCAGCGCCCACTTTGGGTAACTCACAACCACCTGTGACTCCAGGGGATGCAATCCTCTTTCGGCCTCCACGGGCACCTACACATGTATCAAACCGATACACATACACATAAATAAAAGTAAAATGTATATATTTTTAAATTGTTTAGATCCCCTGGAGGAAGAGCGGAGTTACTGCAAGGACTAGAAACACAGATCTGAGGTGCAGGCATGATTAAGTTTTGGTGTATGGTGTATGGCTCAGACTCATTCTCGTGTCTCCAATTACATGTGAACTATATATATTTTGGTTTTTCAAGACAGGGTTTCTCTGTGTAACCTTGGCTGCCCTGGAAATCGCTCTGTAGACCAGGCTGGCCTCGAACTCACGGAGATCTGCCTGCCTCTGCCTCCTGAGTGCTGGGATTAAAGGTGTGCATCACCACTGCCCAGCATTTTTTTTTCTTTTTTGATTTTTTTTATACTTCAGAAATTGGACTATTTTTATGTTTACTTGACTCTGATATTAAGGTGGGTGAGAAATGATGCTTCTCAGATGTCCATTGAGTCCACAATGCTGACAGAGGGGTCTCAGGACTCGTGTTTAGGCAGCTGGTTCCACAGCTTCCTAATGGGGCCCTTCATTTTCTTCTTTTGCGTTGAAATTGTGCACCTGTCTGAATTCCTGCCGTCTTCTTATGTTCAGGTCTCGGATGCGGCTTACTATACACCGCGACAGTGACCATTACATGCCAGTATTTTGACAGCCGCCGAGGCCTCGCGCTTGGCCTGATTTCAACAGGTACCTTTTCAAAATTAAGTACAGTATTGTCACAAGTTAACGTTCTAAACAGAGCGAAGAGGTGTGAACCACATGTGTGCAATCAGCCTCTACCCAGCTGTCAATCAGAAAGCAAAGTGGTTTCTTCCAGCACTCCTAGAAGGCAAGTATATTTCCCACCACAAATATGGGAATAGCTTTCAAAAACCCCAAGATCCAAGCCAGGCAGTGATGGCACACACCTTTAGTCCCAGCACTTGGAAGGCAGAGGCAGGTGGATCTCTCTGAGTTTGAGGCCAGGCTAGCCTAGTCTGTAGAGCAAGTTCCAGGATAGCCAGGGATACACAAGGAAATCCTGTCTCTTAAAACAACAAAATAGGGGCTGGAGAGATGGCTCAGAGGTTAAGAGCACTGGCTTCTCTTCCAGAGGTCCTGAGTTCAATTCCCAGTAACCACATGGTGGCTCATAACCATCTGTAATGACATCTGGTGCCCTCTTCTAGCCTGCAGGCATGCATGCAGACAGAACGACAGAACACTGTGTACATAATAAATAAAATCTTAAAAAAAATAAGATATATTTAGGGCTGGAGAGATGGCTCAGTGGTTAAGAGCACTGACTGCTCTTCCAGAGGTCCTGAGTTCAATTCCCAGCAACCACATGGTGTTCTCACAACCATCTATAACGAGATCTGGTGCCCTCTTCTGGCCTGCAGTCATACATGCTGTATACACAGTAAATAAATAAATCTTTAAAAAAAAAAAAAAAACAAAATAGACAACACGATACTCAAACAAACAAACAAACAAACACACCCCAAGCTCCATAAATGACAAATCTGAGTACCAGACCTTAGCGTGAGGGATGCCGAGGAAGCTTCCAGGCCCAGGGTGTTCACAACTATCTGGAGGACAGAGCTTGGATGAAAAGCACAGGACCCCTTCTAAAGCCACTGCTCTGCGGAGAACCGGAAAGGAAACAAGAGGCCGCAATCCCTGTCAGTCTCAGGTCAGCCTTACCACACACTGTGGAACATAAAGCCTGCCCAAGGTCTTGATCTCTGAACATGGCTCAGTGACCTAGCTACACATCCCAGCAACACTCACTCTCGTTATCCCTGTAATAACTCACAGAAGGCCACTGAAGGTGTAAAATAGCGTATACACAATGTGGAGATTCAGCAAGGCAGCTCCACATAGTTAAAAAGGTTTATTTTGGGGTAACTTACAGCCAGTAAAGGGGTTGGTTACAGGATCCGGGAGAGGTGAGGTGCAGTCCAACGGGGTTCTCTGGAGAACTCTGGCTGGGTCTGCCATCCGGCATCCAGGATCACCAGGAACCAAGAGGGTTGGCACATCCAGATCTTGGGTCTTAAGGGCTTTCATCTCAGCCCTGCCCCAGAGGCAGGTCATAGGTAGGCATGGCAGTTACCGGAAGCCTCACTTAGGGGTAGTACTTCCAGGTCAAAGGTGGAACAGCTACCCACTACATATACATTTTAAGCCATGTGTGGTGGTAGCATATGTCTTTAATTTCATACTTAGGTCAAGGGCAGAAGACATGTGACCATGAAGCTAGCTGGGGCTATATGTATTGAGAACCTGTCTCAGACAAACAAACTATATATATATATATATGTTTTCAATATAGTTTCTGGCCTCCTCCAGGTATTTTGGGGTGATACTTCACGTGTTAGATGGATTTTAAAAACTGCTTAAGGTTGTATCAATTTCTGTGGCTGATAGTTTATCAGTCTATTTAGGGCAATGGTTCTCAACCTGTGGGTCCTGATCCTTTTGAGGGGGGAGGTCGAATGACCCTTTCACAGGGGTCACTTATCAGATATCCTGCATATCAGATATTTGCATTATGATTCATAACAGTAGCAAATTATAGTTATGAAGAAGCAATGAAAGTGATTTTGTGGTTGGGGGTTAGTACAGCATGAGGAACTGTATTCTGCAGGAGCAGGAAGTGTTTAATTTTCAACTGAAAATGGATTTTTTCCATACAATATATTCTGATTATGGTTCTCCCTCCTGTGGGCATCCTAGATCCTTCCCACCCACCCGGGTCCACATCCTTTCTTGTTCTCTCTCATTAAAAAACAACCAGGCACCCAAGAAAAAAACATTTAAAAAAATCATAAAACGAAAGTCAATGAAAATAAGTCAACCTGAATAAGACAAAACAAACAAACAGAAAGAAAAAGATCCAAACAAAAGCACAAAAAACACATATAGACACAGAGACACACACATTTATGTGCACAGAAATTCCCTAAAAACACAAAATCAGAAATCGTATTATATAAGCAAGAGACCTACCTGTAGGGTAGGAAGAAAAAAAAAGCAAACAAACAAACAAAAAAGCCCAGACAAAGCATTATGAAACAAATAAGCATAAAAACAAAAACAAACAAACAAACAAACAAAAAAACACCTCCAAAAATATCATTGAGTTTGTTTTGTGTTGGCCATCTACAAGAGAAAACCCATTTTTCATGTGTGAGTGGTTATCCATTGGAGATAGCCTCTGGGTTAGGGAGGGGGCTGGTGTCCACTCTCTCCTCGTTGGAGAAAGTGTTCTTAATGGCCATCTCTCCAGCATCCTGGAGCTGGACTTCTGGCACTCCCTTGTTGGAAAAGACACTTCACTGCTTGGCGTCTGTTTCCTGAACTGTAAAATAGGAACAGGAATATCAGACATGACATTGGGTTATTGGACTGTAAAGGCACACATGGACTGTAGGACGGCTAGTGATTGTCATTGTGGCCAAAATATCCTGTCGTGTCCACATTTACTGATGCTGAAGACACGGGAAATATTCTGCTGTTGCGGGCTTTTGCTTGGCACCCAGCCTGGAGGGCGGGGCAGAGGGGCTGAGTGCGCTGTAGCACAGCAAATCGAAAATGCGCCACCCACCGGCAGTCGAGATTTGAAAGGGTTAGTATCAACCCACGGGAGCTAGGTGAGTTAAAAGGAGAGCCAGGCATGGATCCTCCTTCATCTAGGGAGATCATAGCAAAACAGAGTCACGGTAGCTTTTCCAAAAGAAACCACAAGTCAATGACTTGAAACATGACCACCTAGTTGAAAGGGGTGAGATGTAGAGATATAAGCATATGACAAAGCTTTGAGCCTGATGTGATGGTACACATCCGCCACTCCAGCACTTAGGAGGCTGAGGCAGGGGAATGTGAGTTCAAGGTCAGCTCTGGGTCCGTTGCAGGGACCTGTATCCAAACAGCAACAAAACCCTGAAGGCTGTGGGCTGTGATCTTCCTCAATAGTGAACAGGGGTTAGAAAAGTAGTCTCTGCTCCAATCTGCTTCTCTCTGTTTTTGTACATTGCACAAGCATTTTTTTTTTCTATTTTTACCCTATTTTTAAAAGTGAAAAGAACATTTCATAATGTGTGAACATTTGGGGAAACTGAGTGTCCATAAACAGCCATGCTGTCTGCTGTCTGGTGTTTCTGTCTCCCTGGGAGAGCTGAGTACTGGGGACAGACAGGTATTGTATGGCTCACAGTGTCTTAAGTGTTTGTCCTCTGACCTGTTCCAGAAAAGCTCGAAAGAATTGGTATTGATGAGCTAATTAATGCATGTGTGTGTCTCTTCCAGTTTGAGCTGAGGTTCCCTAAACACCAATTATTTTTCCTCTCTGTAGCAGTGTGAAATCTAGACTCGGATGAAAACATAATTAGTGTTTTTTCTCACTTTGCTCTTTACGTTGACTATTTTTCAATTAAGATGTTCTTGTAGATGGTTAAAAATTAGAGCTTTGCATTTTCCAAAGCACCACGAGGAAACTCTTGATATTGGTTCCTATTGCACTGAAGAATCACTGCATCTTTCTAAGTCACGGCCGTGTTCTCATGGGATACAGGCCAAGGTATAGAATTTGGCCTGCCCTGTCACATAGCATATGGTAGCTGTTAGTAATATCTACTGAAGTGATTTGATATATTTCATGAGTTTGACAGATGGACTCTGTTGGTCAGCAATGGCAATTCGTTCTCAATTTAAGATCAAAGTGGAACTTAAAACTTTAAGTTATATTTCTTTATTTGTGTGTGTGTGTGTGTGTGTGTGTGTGTGTGTGTGTGTGTGTATATGTGAATGTGAGCATGCACACCTACTTGCCATAGCTCATACAGAGTTCATGAAAAAACTTGCTGAATTTGGCTTTCCTTAACCAGCATGTAAGTCTCAGGCATTGAACTCAGGCCCTCGGGTGTGGTGGCAGGGGCCTTTCTCTGCTGATCCATCTTTCTGCCACAAAAACAGAACTTTAAAAATATCAGGAGGCCGGGCAGTGGCGGCGCACACCTTTAATCCCAGCACCTGGGAGGCAGAGGCAGGCGGATCTCTGTGAGTTCGAGGCCAGCCTAGTCTCCAAAGCGAGTTCCAGGAAAGGCGCAAAGCTACACAGAGAAACCCTGTCTCGAAAAAACCAAAAAAAAAAAAAAAAAAAATCAGGAACACTGGGCGCTGGGTGGTGGTGGCACACGCCTTTAATCCCAGCATTCAGGAGGCAGAAGCAGGTGAATCTCTGTGAGTTCTAAGCCAGCCTGGTCTACAAAGCAAATTCCAGGAAAGGCCCACAAAGCTACACAGAGAAACCCTGTCTCAAAAAAAACAAAACAAAACAAAAAAAATCAGGAACGTGTTTAAGGGTCTAGAGAGCTGGCCTAGTGGTTAAAGAGCATGGCCTTTCTTCCAGAGAACTGGGTTTCTGTTCCCAGCCTCCACATGGCAGAATACAACCATCTGTTACTGCAGTTCCAGGGGATCCAATGCCCTCTCTGACCTCTCCAGGCATCAGGCACACACATAGTGTACAGGTGTGTATTCAAGCAAAACATCCATACACAATACATTTAAATATTTTGAGAAGAACATGTTTAGTGTCTAATGGTGTGGCATCTTACTAGAGTCTGTATATCGTGTTAGATAAAAGTCACCAACAGTCCATGGGTGAAGACACAGAACGGCTGTCTTGAAGTTCCCCATTCTTTGTTTTCTGAACTGTTTTTAGCTGTGGAAGCACGTACCATGGTTCAAAGATAGGGAAGGGATTTTGAATTTGTCTATTATTTTTATTTTATGCGCATGGCTGTTTTGCCTGCCTGTATGTCTGTGCACCACATTCACACAGTGCCCGAGGGGACCAGCAGGAGGCATTGGATTCCCCCTGGAACTGGAGTTACAGATGGTGGTGAGCTGTCATATGGGCGCTGCGACCTGAACCTGGGTCCTCTGCAAGAGCAGCCAGTGTTCTGAACCACTGCACCCTCTCTGGGTTCCTGGTTATAATATTGCGTGATGAGATGAGTTTTTAGGGTATGGATGCTGTGATCATCTGACTCGGAATTTTAAAAATTAACCTGTTTAAGTTTTCCTGCTGTTTGATATGGCATTTCCCAGGGATATTTAAATTTTTTAAATACTCAATTTAAAAAAAAAACAAACCCAAAAACTGTGTTTAGGGAGATGGATGCTGAAGAGGAGACGTTTTTGTTCCCGTGTGATGTATAAGCCAGCGTACTATAATTGAAATACTCCATCAAATCCCACTTCAGCCTCTTCTCATACTTCCATTAACGAGCTAAGAATACAAATCGCTCATTCTGGTTATTCAGCAATGAATGTAAATGATCAAACCATTATTAATATCCTAAAACTAATCTATAGCAGTCGTCTTAAAAGTGAAATGTAAAGCCGGGCGGTGGTGGCGCACGCCTTTAATCCCAGCACTCGGGAGGCAGAGCCAGGCGGATCTCTGTGAGTTCGAGGCCAGCCTGGGCTACCAAGTGAGCTCCAGGAAAGGCGCAAAGCTACGCAGAGAAACCCTGTCTCGAAAAACCAAAAAAAAAAAAAAAAAAAGTGAAATGTAAAAAATTGCTTTTCCAAAGGCAATAAAACGTAGCATGGAGCCCAGTACATAATAAATGTAAAAGGTAGTCAGAGATAGTGTTTGTTAAGACTATAAGGGCCAGCAAGATGACTCAGTGGATAAAGGCATGTGTGGCCAAGCCAGATGACCTGAGTTCAAGTCCTGAGACCCACATTTTAGAAGGAGAGAACTGACTCCTGAAGGTTGTCCTCTGACCTACACACACACACACACACACACACACACACACACACACACACACACGCTATGGAAAGTGCATGGCTATATAAAAATATACACTAAACAAACAGAAAATGTAATTTAAAAAATTTAAAATAACTAAATTCCATGGGTTCCTGGAGCCAGGCTGACTGAATTATGTTGTTTTACATCCCTGAGCTCTGCGGTAAATGTCTCAAGCTCTCTAGCCCTTGTTCATTTCATCTGTAGATTGGGGGTTATAGTAGGATGTACTCAATAGGTCCATTAAAAGCAATGAATGCGATCATGTATCTAAAGCACACTACAGGGAGCTGGAGGGATGGCTCAGAGATTAAAAGCACTGTGGCTCTCACAGAGGACCTGAGTTCAGTTCCCTGCACCCACATCAGGCATCTCACAGCCTCTGAAATTCCAGCTACAGGGGATCTGATGCCTTCGTCTGGACTTTGTGGGCACCCACTCCACACAGGCACACACACACACACACACACACACACACACACACACACACACACAAACACACACATAGCCCATAGGCGTTGGCTAACTTGTCAATCCCTACAGTCTTTGTGGTCACATATGGGAAGATGGACCAATTACCAGAAAGAACACTCAAGATCCCAGAAAGTATCGCCAGGGTGACGTAGCTCTTGGCAAGGGGGATTGCACACAAGGCCAGATCCGTGATGATCAGGGTAGCTACATAGAGATACAAGGTGTTGATCCACTTGAAGTCAGCCTATAAATGTGTATGAGTGTGTGTGTGTGTGTGTGTGTGTGTGTGTGTGTGTGTGTGTGTGTGTGTGTGTTGACCCACTGGAAGTCAGCCTATATATACGTGTGTGTATGTGTGTGAAGTCACACATGTGTGTATGTATATGTGCGTGTGTGTGTATGTGTGTGTGTGCATGTGTGTATAGTTAAAAAATGAGATAAATCCTGGCAGGACTGAAGGGATGGCTCCATAGTTAAGAGCACTGGCTGTTCTTGCAGAGGACGGGACTTTGGTTCCCAGCACCCACATGGAGTCTAACAACTGTCTGTAACTCTGGCTCCAGGGGATCCAATGCCCTCTGCTGGCCTCCATGGGTACTGTGCATATGTGGAGCACATATAACCATGAAAACTAAAGCACTCATACACATAAAATAAAAAATTTAAAATCCTTTTTAAAAAAATCCTAAATACAAACAGGGTCTTCGGATGATGATTCTGAAGATGGATGTTCCATCAATACCGCCGTCCTGACATCTCAGTGTTCTCATGGCTTTAATACAAAGGCCCCATGAATATCAGTGTTAATGATAAGTGTTGCTGTGATGCCACTGGTGCATGTTCTGGGGCTATAAAAACCATCAGACTAAGACTGAGAGGTTCTTGCTCTCTTGCAGGTTCAAGCGTGGGCCTATTCATCTATGCGGCTCTGCAGAGGGTGCTGATAGAGTTCTATGGCCTGGATGGGTGCCTACTTATTGTGGGCGCTTTGGCTTTAAATATACTAGCCTGCGGCAGCCTGATGAGACCCTTGCAGTCTTCCGACTCTCCTTTTCCTGAAAAAATAGCTCCGGAGAATGTTCTAGATAGATACTCCACATACAATGAGAAAGAGAAGAGCCTGGAAGAAAATATGAACATCTTAGACAAGAGCAACCGCAGTGAAGATAAATGCAACAGCACCTTGCCCCGTGGTGACTGGGGACAGGAGACTCCTAAAAATCCTACAGCGGCAGCACACGCCAAGGAGCCTGAGCCTTACAGAAAGAAGGTCGTGGAGCAGACTTACTTTTGCAAGCAGCTTGCCAAGAGGAAATGGCAATTATATAGGAACTACTGTGGTGAGACTGTGTCTCTTTTTCAAAACAAAGTCTTCTCCGCCCTTTTCATCGCCATCTTGCTTTTTGACATCGGAGGGTTCCCACCCTCGCTGCTCATGGAGGACGTAGCGAGAAGCTCCAACGTGAGGGAAGAGGACTTCACCATACCACTCATCTCCATTATCGGCATCATGACAGCCGTGGGCAAGCTTCTTTTAGGCATCATGGCTGACTTCAAGTGGATCAACACCTTGTATCTCTACGTAGCTACCCTGATCATCACGGGTCTGGCCTTGTGTGCAATCCCCCTTGCCAAGAGCTACGTCACCCTGGCGATACTTTCTGGGATCTTGGGTTTTCTAACTGGCAATTGGTCCATCTTCCCGTATGTGACCACCAAGACTGTGGGGATTGACAAATTAGCCCACGCCTATGGGATACTCATGTTCTTCGCAGGACTTGGGAATAGCCTCGGGCCACCGATTGTTGGTAAGATACTCATGTTGAAGTCAGCTCAGTTTCTTGTTCCTCACTGTGACGTTTCCAGATAGAGAAGTTCTCAGCAATAGCATAGATTTGCACAAAGTCAAATGGATTATTTCATGGTAGCTTATTTAAGATTAGTTTACTAGGGCTAGAGTGTAGTTAGAGTGGAAGAGTCTTTGCCTAGCGTGTAGGAAGCCCTAGGTTTATTCTCCAGCTCTGACTAAAACCAGATGTGGTAGCCCACACCTGTAATACTAGCACTTGGGAGGATCTGAAGTATGAAGTTCGAGCTCATCTTTGGTATGTGGTGAGTTTTGGGCTAGCCTGGGCTACATGAGCCCCTGACCCAGTACACACACACACACACACACACACACACACACACACACACCCATGTGATATAATTACAATTAAGCTGATATACTTCCTCTGGCTTTGTGCCCATTCTTTATTTGGAAGAAACTAAAAATAACCCACCTCAAATATTTAAAAGACCCCTCACTGGTAAAGCACCGTCAGCCACGTTGGAAGCAGGCGCGCGCATGCACACACATAACCCCACGTGAACACCGCTTCTGTGAAACTTACTTCGGTTGTTCTCACTGTTTTCTCAGGTTGGTTCTACGACTGGACGCAGACCTACGACATCGCCTTTTATTTCAGCGGCTGCTGCGTCCTGCTGGGGGGCTTCATCCTGCTGCTTGCCGCCTTGCCCTGTTGGGACACGTGCAACAAAAAACCCTCTAAGCCAGCGCCAACAACCTTTTTCTACAAAGTTGCCTCTAATGTTTAGGGGGATATTAAAAGGCATTATTTTCTCTATTTTTCTACTTTATACCATATATATATGGTTAAACGGGTTCCCTAGAGTCAAGACCTTGTTGTAGCAAAACTCCGGCTGACTCTGAAGGAGAACATACTTTCACATACCCTGTGTTTTTTTTTTTATGTATTGTGGACATAACCTCTGTCCCTTGTATTCCCCTCCCCCAAGAAATGGTCCTGTTCTGTTTCACCTTTGCTAGTGAGTTCTGGATGTAAAACTGTTGACTAGCCTCACCGAGTTTTCTCTGGGTCAAGAAGCAGAGTCTCCGCTTTCCCCCACGTGTTCTACCGCCAGGTACTCAGGGGGTCCCGTCTTAAGCCACGCACTCCTCCTGTCAGGATATTTGTGAAGACGCCTAAGGAATAATTGCTGTCTCCTCTATGCCAGACCTGCAAGTCCAGAGAAGACGCTAAGCCATTTCGTTTCCAGAAGTGAGAGCGATGGTTATAATGTCACTAAGACTTTGAAGACTTTAGACAAAATATTTTAAATCGCAGCTGTCCGTCTTATCCGTTTTCTATTGTGTTGTCCTTGTTGAAGCACTGTTGGGCATTTGGTGTCCACCGTGTGTGAACTCGTTCAATTCCTCCAGCCCCCTGCGTGGCTGGCTCCTAGGACCTCGCTCCCTGGTGCTAGTCAGCATGCACTCTGCTGGTGTCTCCTAAGAGCTACTGATTTGCCGGTTTCCAGCTTGGAAATACACCTCTGAACCATTCCGTCTGGCCAGTGGGAAGCATCCATTTGCTTTGAGCACCATGGGAATGAGCTGCAAGGCCTTGCCTGTCTTCCAAATGAAGCCCATGGTGGTTTCTCTTGGGCTTTTCCACTACTGCATTTTAATTCATGGACAGGGCTAAAAAAAGAAGAAGAAAAAAAAGATGCTCTGTGTGTCCATTAGACGTGGGAAAGGCTAGGGTGAAGAGAAACCGATACTCTCACCCAACCTTATGTAATCCCAAGAACATTGGAGGGCAGAAATAATGTTTAATAAATAGAAATGGGTTCAACTTTGGGTTCATTCAACCAATGGGTTTCCTCTATAGAAATGGGTTTCAACTTTGCCATGCTTCAGAATCCCCTACAGACCCTCCAGAAACTTAAGTGCTTGATACTATGCTTTTAATTGTAATTCTGCCTGTTGGCCCACGCATCTGCATTTTAACGAACTCTGCAGGGATTCTGGTGACAGGGCCCCAGGACGGCTGTAGACAGGTGTGGTGGGGCTGTGCTTCCCAAAGCTCAGGGGAACAATGAGGGCATGGCAGGTGGGGGAAGCCCTGAGTTCGCTGATCACTAGCACCACCAGGGGAAAAAAAATAAACAAAACACATTGGCAATAGACAAACATTTTCTTTTCTTTTTTTTTTTTTTTCTTTTTTCTTTTTTTGGTTTGTTCGAGACAGGGTTTCTCTGTGTAGCTTTGCACCTTTCCTGGAACTCACTTGGTAGCCCAGGCTGGCCTCGAATTCACAGAGATCCACCTGGCTCTGCCTCCCGAGTGCTGGGATTAAAGGCGTGCGCCACCACCGCCCGGCCAGAGTTCTCTCTCTCTCTCTCTCTCTCTCTCTCTTTTTTTTTTTTTTTTTTGGTTTTTCGAGACAGGGTTTCTCTGTGTAGCTTTGCGCCTTTCCTGGAACTCGCTTTGGAGACCAGGCTGGCCTCGAACTCACAGAGATCCGCCTGCCTCTGCCTCCCGAGTGCTGGGATTAAAGGCGTGCGCCACCACCGCCCGGCTAACATTTTCTTTTCCTAAATAAAAGAAAAAAAAGATAAGCCATAAAGTTAGGTATTTTAAAACCAACCGCCAAGGGTTCTTTAAGTAAGGGCTCCCTTCCTGTGGTGCCAAAATTGTCTTTTAATTTTCTTAAAAGATATGGGAGATTATTTGGTGCATTACATTGCCTTCTCTCCACGCACCTGAAGCACTGTATTACACAAGCCCCCAGAGCGCCCCCCTGCGGTCAGGAACCAGCTGTGTCCTGTGTCATGAAACAAGCATATGATTTTGTTGGCAGTCCTGCTCAGTAACGTAACAATGGGGCTCAAAGCACATTAGACTTGTGCACCACACTCAGACTTCTGGAAAGTTCTCTGTACCTCATTCTTCTGTCTCTCAAAGTTAGTAAATAAAACATCACTCCAGCTCTAGGGGATCCGACACCCTCTTCTGTCTCCCATACACCCCTGTGTACTGGTGACACACACACACACACACACACACACACACACACACACACACACTCTAAAAAAAGAAATCTTTAAAATTTATAGCTATGATTTTTTAAGCAATAAATAAATAAATAATAAAGTTTACCTTATACGTGTTTGATTTCAAGCTCCTGTTTTGGTTAATATTATGTTCAAGATATCTAGTGACGGGGAAGGGTTGACTTTGCTGACATGTCTGCATCCATCAATGGTGACAATTGCCCTGATGTGTCCCACCCCATCAATACCACCCTGTGTATGCACTAGCCACTGTCTAGAGAATGAATTTTAAGTTCTGATGAAATATTTTGGTTAGTTTTTTTTTTCCCCCTCGGCACATTGTTTTCCTTCCCGGATGCCGTGACACTCCACGGGAATGTAAGTATATACATTACTGGATATAGTTTAGCTTTAGACTGGACCAGAGCAGACTCAAAAGCCAATGGACTAAACTACTTTGACTCCTGGGTTGGAAGAGCTAATGTGTCAGAACTGCAGGATCCTGGCCTGGAGGAGAAGTCTTATTCCAGAGCTTGCTTTATGAGTCAGGGTCTCCCTGCATTGCTCAGGCTGGCCCGGACTCCAAGGCTCCAATGCAGTCTTGTCCTAGTCTCTCCAATACCTGAGATGATAGGCAGGCAGGTACCAGCATGTCCAGCTTCATCACCTCCTCAGTGTGTTCCAGATTCCTACGGTCTCTCTCTCACAACAACCCTGTGATGTGGTAACTGTGGCCTTCGCTTTATAATACAAAATGGAACTGTCCTGATACAATCGCTCTACTATGAAAAGACAGGAAACTAATTTCCAAGAGCAAAATGAGCCGGTCTCTGTAGAGATTAGAGTTCTCTCTTGGGTTCCTAAAGTAGGTGGGAAACCGTGCCCAGCCTGGGAGTTTCGGTCAGACATGTTTCAGCAGAGAAATTATATAAAGACTAATGCCAGGGCTGCCCATTTTCCAAGAACGAGACTTTAAAATGAGCCTGATACATTTATATCGACCCGAAGCGAGTCTTCTGTGAATAGAGGGAGATTTCCGGACACTGGAAATGCTGTGGGCTGAGTGTGGGAAGGGTGCGGACTCAGGGAATGTATCTGCAATGCCCTGCCTAGAAGCAAGTGTTTAGCATTTCCTCACCGGGCTTTTCTCTGAGGAGCCAGGGGCCCAGGGAGTTGTGTTATCAGGAGAGAAGTTTCTGCCACTGGTGTTTAAAGTCCCCCGGAGGAACAATCTCCAAGGATCAGTGCTGGGAGGTCATGACTCCAGTGTGTGTGTGTGTGTGTGTGTGTGTGTGTGTGTGTGTGTGTGCGCGCGCGCTTGTGTGCATAATGTGTTGATGGTGAAGGTCTGTGGCTGCCCCCAGTCAGCACAGGATTATTCTTACACTGGAGACTCCAAGAATGAAGGAGAGACCCATTTTGAAGAAGAGAATGCCTCCCTTTTCCTTAGGAGCATTGCCCTGAGTGTGTGAAACACACGGTTAGCGTTACAGTACATTTTCTCCTCCTTAAACACCGTCTCGGTACCCTTGTTAGATGCTCAGTTGTGTCTGAAGGATGCCAGCTATGAGATCCCTCTTTGAGGAAGCAGTGAACCACCGCCAGGGATCAGAGGTCTGTAAGGATACAGCCCTCCTCCCCAAGGCCTTGGCGGGTTGGGCCAAGGTGCCCTGGTGGGTGAGGGAGACTCACAATGGCTTGGCGTAGTGGAAAGTCATTCATACCATGCAGACACAGCATCCACATCAAGAGTTTATTATAATAGAGAGAAGGAGGGAGAGAGAGAGAGAGAGAGAGAGAGAGAGAGAGAGAGAGAGAGGAGGTGTGTACCCCACACGGCCAGAAAGGGAGGAAGGAGAAGAGAAAGAAGGAGGACTTTTCCTTAAAGGAGGCCCATGCTCAGTCTAGCTCAGTCCCTGTGCCTGGGTGACCATCGCCCACCATGAGCACATTATCGGCTTCTCAAGATGCCGTTTTCCTCTTTTATAAATGACACCACGGGGCTATCTTGAGAATTAAGTAAGAGGACGCGTGGAGGTGACTGGAAAGCCGCCGCTGACGTCCACGAATGCTCACTATTTTTTTTATTATTCTGACTTTTATTCTCAAGAGCGCGGCTTCTCCTGTGGGAGGCAGCGTGTGCCCCTGGGCACGGGGGGTGGGAGGGTGGGGAGGGCGGTAATGTTTGCCCTGCAGAGTTTCACTTAGAAAAAAGGAGTAAGGGACCTTCTATTATCCCCTGCTTGTGGGACCGCCTCAGCTCTTGGCCTCGCCCAAGCGGGCGCTTGTCAAAAAAATCCCCGGGAGAAGGAAATCATGACTCGGCACATTTTCCTGGCTTGGCCATCCCGAAGCTCTGCCCACAGAACAAAGCAAACAGAACCAAACACAGGCTGTTCCTCCGCAAATCAAATGGGATCCGCTGTGTAAATTGAATGGCTAGGGGAGCGTGGACTCGTGTTTGTTTTTCTTCAAAAGCCTTCACGCCAGCTGCTCGGAAGGTGGGCCTGGAACCGGGCAGAGAGCAAACCAATCTGCCCTGTTTACGGAGCACTAATTGCCTGCGGCGGCGGCGCCGAGTCCCCGCCCCGCCCCTGGCCAGGACGCCTTTGTGATTTACTGGTGAGGGCACGGACTTCTGGGAGCTGGCTCCTCGCAGAACTCTCAGCTGCCTGAGTTTGCTTCCTACCGCATACGGTGGTTGTCAGAGTCGTTTATCTTATGCTTTCTCCTTTTAAGAAGATAAAGGGGGGTGGGGTGGGGTGGGGTGAGTGGAGAGATGCCTTAGCTGTCAGGAACCCTTGCTGTTCTTGCAGAGGACCAGGATTTGGTTCCCCATACAACGGCCTATAACTCCAGTTCCAGGGGATCGAATACCCTTTTCTGGCTAGATAGACTCCTCCTGTGAGTATTTTTGATATTAATAAGACTGGTTATTTTCATGGATGAGCTCAGAAAAGCCCTGAAGATCTCCAGCTTTACCAGGACACCGCCCACAGGTGGCTCTGGGACTCTAGCAATAAAGGAGAAGAGGCACTTTGCTGTGTGCAAGCTTCCTGTGCGCAAACTCGGTTTCATGGTTTGTTCCTCCCCAGAAAACCTCACTAAAGACGACAGATGCAGTCCAGTGCAGGGCCTTAGCATGGAAACAGGGTCACCAGAACACAGTGGTAGGGTGAGTCTGTGGCTGCCCTCCTTCAGAAGGACCGAGGTATTTCACAACTGATAGCTTGTCCTGATTAAGCTCCAAAGGCATTCACAAGGCTGGAGGCTGATTATCAAGATGTCTCCAAGGACATTTCGGGTATGGCTCTCTCCTGGCCGGTCCGGATTCATCCACCTGGGACATGGGCAGGCTCTTTCCCAGGCACAAAGATGAAACTGGGAGCTCGGCAAAGCTCCGGAGGATGGAAAAACAAAACAAAAAACAAACAAAACCCACAAAAGACAGCATGTGGTCTTCTCCAGAAATCCGGTTGTCTCTGACAGTGATGTAAGTGTTTGCTTGTTCTACTACTACGTGTGTAGCATTTGAAAAAAATCGTGTTACCATTAGGACGGGCAGCATGATTACCAAAGTTCTTAGTGGCGCGTGTGTGTTTTGCATGACCTGCTCGTATTTGTTCTGCTTTGTTGAAGATAGCCCTGTCTGAGTGACAAAGGCACCTGCCGCCGCCTGCCACTTAGGTTTATTTGTTCATTGTAGTCTCTTATATGACATTCCTAATATTACAATTGGGTCCTGGACATCTTTTTTCTTGTATGTATTTAGGGATAATTGAATTGATGTTTCTTAAGTTATTTACTTATTATTGTGTATGTGCATGGTGTGTGTGTGTATGTGTGTGTGTGTGTGTGTGTGTGTGTGTGTGTGTGTGTGTGTGTAGCATGAATCTTAAAAGGTCTTATTAATAAAAACAAATCTGGAGCCAGGTATTGGGGTCAACGCTGGAAGATCAGAGAAGCAGAACAAGCCACAGCCATCTCACCTTGCCAATTCCTCAGCTGATCCTGTTTTCTCAGACTGGAAGCCTCTGAGTCCTTATCCAGAATGAATTTCAGCTGAACTGCTTCTCGAAAGCCTGAAGCTTAAACAGGCTAAAAGCTTCTGGTTCCTGTTCCTCATGCCTTATATATCTTTCTGCTTTCTG